GGCAAAATCTCTTAATTCCCTGCGTTTTTTTGAGGGCAAATATACAAGGCATTCAGAGCCTTTCGCAGAAGGACCCTCCTTTAAGGGCCGAGGGTCTCATTATCTGACACCGGACGAGAAAGCTCAGCGACGCGAGGGCGCAGCCTCCCCGGCTATGCAGACTCCACCTCTCGTTTAGGAGAAGAGCCCATCAGGAAAGGTTAGAGTCCCAAGAGGAGACACTCCAGGTATCCAAAACCTAGGGCAGGCCGACCTGGGAAGTGCAGCAGCCAGAATGGATCAGTTAACGACTCTTTCCTCCTCAATGTTTTTCTCCGTTGCTAGGAAACGACGCTTCGCCACTGCGGTGGCTAGCGCCCCTTCTGGTGCCCATGTGCTGTAATAGCACCTTCAGTTGAGCAAACAAGAATACTTTGTTTTTAATACTTGACTTAAGTCATTGTTTTTGTGGAATATAATATACAGAAAAGTATCCAAGATATACACAAATATTGAAAAACTGTTATAAAGTAACCTCCGTGTAAGCACTACCCAAGTAAAGAATAGACCACTGCCAGCGCCTCAGGCGGCCCCTTCAGCTCCCCACCCAGCCCAGTCACACTCCTTGCTGTGCAGATAAACACTCTCCACCGCTGAGGGTATCCTTTTATCGCTTTCCTTCCTAGTTTCATTACCTGTATCCGTAAACAGTATAGCGTTGGTTTAGTCTTTTTGAACATTTTATACAAACAAAACCATATGGTTTTACTCTTTCTTGTGTTTGTAATAATCTAAACATATTTTTGCATTTGTAAGGTCTATCCATGTTGTTACATGAAGAAGTAGTGTATTCGTTTTCATTGCTGTCTAACATTACAGTGTAGGACTGTACCACAACTGATCCATTCACCTGTTGATGGACATTTGTGCTGTTCCCAGCTTGGGGCTATTTTGAACAGTGCTGCTGTGAACATTCTTGCCTATGTGTTTTGCTACATATATGCATGCATTTCTCCAGGTTATATACGTAAGAGTGAAGTTGTCAGGTCACGTAATATGTGTCTCTGACTTTACTAGATAATGCCAAACAATTTTCAGAAGTGGATGAACACATACATGTACAGTCCCAACCAGCATCACATGCTCATTCCTGCTGCTCCTTGGGCTACAGTTGGTACTGTCAGACACTCATTTTCACCAGTCTGATGGGCATGTATCTCATCATCATTTTAATTTGTATTTACTGATAATTAATGAGATTAAGCACATTTTCATGTTTATGCCCATTGAATTTCCTCTTATGGGAAGTGTGTATTCAAATTTTTGGTTCATTTTCTCCTTCTGGGTTGTTTGTGTTTATAGCAGAAACCTCTAGTTTCTGCTCTTGGCTAATTTCTGATTTCAGAAGCTATTATGGCAAACAGATTTTTCTCTTAACTTTTTATTCTGACATAATTTCAGACTAATAGAAAAATTGCAAGAATAGATTTTTAAAAAAGTCCTACATCTCTTTCACCAGATTTCCAAACATTACATAGTACATTTATTTTCTCCTTTTCTCTGTAACTTTCTTTTCCTGAATTTGAGAGCAAGTTGCAGACATGATACTTCTTCTTAAATCCTTCAGTGGGTCTTAACCAAAAACAAGGACATCCCCTTACATAACCACAGTATAATTATCAAAATCAGGAAACATTAATTTATACATATAACAATGAATTGACACATTAATAATGTCTTAAGAGTGACACATTAATAATGTTTTATCTGCAGATCTTATTCAGATTTTGCCACTTGTCCCAATCATATCCTCTATAACTGAAGAAAACTCAAATCACGTTTGTATTAACTTATGATACCTCTTTAGTCTCCATTAATCTGCAATAGCTCCTCTGCCTTTCTTTGTCCTGCAGAACATTGACACATTTGAAGAGTATGGATCAGTTATTTTGTAAAATGTTCCTCGTTCTGGGTTAGTCAGCTATTTCTTCATGATCAGATTCAGCTTATGCATTTGGGCAGGAATATCACAGAAGTGATACTGTGTTCCAAAATATCATTTTAAATCCTAAAATTAATCTACGACATTGTTTATTAATCCCTTCAAGGGCAAGAGATGGTTGAATACAAGATTAGGAATTTTAACATCGGAAAAAGTAAACAGATCAGCCATGGAGAGAGAAGATCCTTGAAATATACATATCAGTCATCACATACTAAACAGAAGACGGTATAAAAAAACACATCGAGGATTCTTACAGATTAAAGAAAGGCACACACCCATAGGGAAAAAATAGGCAAAAGCCTTGACCCAGTTTGCCCCCAAAGAGGAAATCCAAATGGATACTAAGTATGCAAAAAAGTGTGCAATCTCATTAATAAACAGGTAAATGCAAATTAAAACACCACAGGGTAACACAGACCTAACACAGTGGCTCAAACTAGAAAGCATCAATACCAGGTGCTGTCAAGGGGATAAGGCTACTGGGTGTGCTGGAGTTTTAATTAGTCAGCCACTTTGGAAGAGTGCGGCCTTAAACTAGGAAAGCTCAAGTGTTTTGCACACTCTCTGATCCAGCAATTCCATGACTGTAGAGAAACTCCAGCCTCAGGAAAGATGAGCTCAATGTTCATAGCATCATTGGCATATTAGCCAAACACTGGAAACAACCAAAGTGTTTATTCGTGAGAGAAGGGCTAAAGAAATGGTGATATATTTGCCCAATAGAATACTCCCCAGCAGAGTTTCTCAAATTTAAGTGTGCTTGAGAATCATCTGGGGGGGTTGTGTCCACATAAAAACTTGCACATGAATGTTCTCAGCAGCAGCATTATTGGTTAGAGCCCCAAAGTGGAAACAACCCACGTGTCCATCAATGGATGAGTGGATAAACAAATGTAGGTGATCCATACCATGGACTCTTATCCCACCGTGACAAGGAATGGAGCCCTGACATGTGCTGGTGGTACAACATGGATGAACCTTGAAAACATTGTACTAAGTGAAAGAAACCAGACACAAAAGGCCACATATTATATAATTCTACTTACATGAAATGTCCAGAATGTTTTATGAATGGGCAAATTTTTTATTCTATGAATAGGCAAATTTCACAGAGACAGAAAGTATATGATGGTTGCCAGGGTTTGGGGAAAAGGGAAATGGGGAGTGACTGCTAATGGGGTTTCTTTTTCGGGTGAGGAAAATGTTCTATATTGGATGGTGATCCTTGAAGATGCTTTTTCACTCACATAGCTGGTGCCTCAGCTGGGATGGCTGGGAAGCTTGGGGCTGGCCAGACCTCTCTCTACCGTGCTTCTGCGCATGGCTAGCTCAGGATTTCTCACAGCAAACGTCGACTACAACCATCCACCAAGTAGCTCCGGGATCATCCTAGGCTCCCCTTTTACCTTCATTTCATTCATTCACTCACTCATTCATTTACTTACTGAACAAACTTAGGACCTAGTGGGGGAGACCAAAATGGACAGAGACAATTCCCAGGCTGAGTGTTAAGCACTCCAGCCATGGGGAAAGCCCAGGGGGCCACACGGCTGGGCATACACTTAAAATCATTCTGTGGATTAGGCCTTTAAAATGTCTTCTAATTTGCCCCTGTTTTCTACCCCATGGTCACTGATAACCCTGCCTCCAGTTTCACCCCATTGGTCTGGGCCCTCTGAGAGAAGACAGTGCCAGGACAGGATGGAATGTGGGAGGACTTTGTTAGGAAAAACACCTGTTGGGGAGAAAACAGGGAGGGAATGGAGGATTCAGAGTCATCAGGATGCGATCTAAGTCTAGACCGGGGTGAAGGAGAGAGGGAAGGAAGGATGGGAGAAGGGTCCAGTCCGCCAGGTTGTCTAAGGAAAGTCTGGCAGATGGCGGGGAGTCCCCTGTCTCTCAGAAATGGGCCTGCCTTAGTATCCCTCTCCTGCTGAATCATCAGCTGGGAGCATCCCAGGGGAAGGGGGGCCTCGATGCCAACACCGAGTACAGCAGCCCCTGTCGATTACCATCTCTGTAGTTGGAGGTCTGTAAGTCTCTCCTTCTCTTGAACCCCACAGCCTCCATATGGCTGCCAGAGTGATCTTTCTAGATGACCTCACTATGCCATTCCTCTGCTCAAACACCGTCCATTGATCCCCAGTGACCTCAGGATAAAGCCCCAGCTCCTTATCCCAGCTCTCAAGGTCCTGCTGGGGGAAAGGGAGCAGTTTACCCTGTGCACAGCTTATATGCTTCAGCCACACTGGACTGCTTGCCCATTGCTCCATAGACACGTGTGCTCTTTCATTCCCCCATGCCTTCACCCACACTGTGCCCTCTGCCTGGAAAGCCCTTCCCTACATCTCCCCCATCAAAGCTTAGCTCAATGTCAAGTGCTGTCCCCAGCTTCCCAGGTTCAGTTAGCATCCCCTGGCTCTATCTCTGGTTCAGACCCAGATCTTCTGGAGTAGGCAGCAGATTCCTGGGGCTGTCTCAGGTCAGTCAACAGCCACCGTTCCCTTGGGCTGCTGTCCTTTCTTCCCAGAGCAAGCTGGCTTTCTGTGGCCTTAAAACACTCTACTCCTGTCCTCTTTCCACTGTGATCACAGCAGAAATCCAGTGCACAGAGTCCAGGGCAATTAAACATGGAAGCCTACCCCCATCCAAACCCTTTCTCTACCCCTCTCCCCTTTGCAACTCTGCCTTCCTTGGCTCAGGACTTGCTTTATTTTTATACCACACATTGCACTGAGGCTCCAGGAATCCACTGGATGCCTGAGGTGTAACCAGACCCCAGGCTGGCACTGGCTTGAGCTCTAGCCGGGCAGAGGAGCAACGAGAAGGTCCAAAGTTGGTGGCAGGAGCTGGGCTCCGGGGAGGCCGAACCCTGGGGCAGACAGACCCTCAGTGGAGGGGGGCTTTCTTGTAGGGCATGAGGGGCTCCCACAACATGACCCACTGGAGACCCTCCTCGACAACCTGGGCCCCAGAGAGCCTTAAAGGAATATTCAGCCGACTCTTTTTAGTCCAGGAAAGAGACTGTTTATTGGCATGTTGATGGAGTGCAAGGGCAGGGCTGGTGGTAGGTGATGGGAAGGTGCCCGGATGCTGTGGCTTTAGCTCCCAACATCTCACCTGCATCAGGTTCACCCTGGGGCCTGGCATGACGGCTCCCTGCCTCTGGACAGTGGGCTGGCTGCCTGCCCCAGGATGGCTCTGTAGGACCTGACAGTCCACTGGGATGGCCTGGGGATTTGAGAGAAACTGGGAGCCCAGACAGTTGATGGGGACTGAGGATGTCCTACTATCTCCTGAGAGCAGTGGCCTCCCAGAGCCTCCTGCTGAGCCAGGGACCATGCAGGGCACAGGCCCAGCACCCTCTCTCTGCCTTCCATCCTGGTGGCTGGACTGCGGGCCAATGCTGCCAGAAGGATGCCTCAGCCTGGGCTGCTGCCAACATTCAGACCACATAAAAGGAAAAGGGGCTCTCTTTACTGCTCTGGCCATGCCAGCCCGTTTGTCTCCTGGAACGTGGCTCTGTCCTTACATGCTCAGAGGGTTCAGTGGTGGTCCTACAGGGGCCCTGGCCTGGCTGGCCACCCGGCACTGGCCTCAGTCGGTCTTCCTGAACCCTGAAAGGCAAAGCCCTCAGGATGGCATGGATTCCGCAGGCAGCCAGGCCTCATCCCCATCATCACCCCTGGTGCCCAAATACTGTTCACAGCTGGGATAGAGTCGTCTTCCCAGAAACCATGGGTCTCCACAACCCACACCATTGCAACTCATTTCCCCTTTATAAATTAAATGTATAAAAGGAGACAGATATGCCCAGCCTAGAGACACACAGGCCCCTGGCCTTTCGGGCCCCCGACTCCAGGTCCTGTGCTCCTTCTTATATGCTAGACCTCCTCTGCAACAGAAGCCCCTGGTAGGGAGAGAGAAACTGAGCATAGGAAGAATGTAAAGTTACCTATGAGCCTAAACTTCTGAAAGAGGGGGATGAAGCCCTGCAGGACGCTGTGGATCCGGTACACTGTTCAGAAACAAAGAGAAAAATAATGGAGTTTTGTGCCCCATCAAGGGATCCAGGGTCACTCCCACCCACTGGCCACCCTTGGACAAAGGCCAGACGCACACAAAGAAAGATTTAGTTGTGGAATTTCAGGCAGCAGGGGAGGCTTACAGGCCTAGAGTTATTATTATTAATAACAATGACCACGAACAGCAATAACAGCGCCAGGAAACAGCGAATTCAGTATCAGCTCCCTTAACTGGCTGGTTTCTGGTATCTGGCTGATTTTTTTGTTTGCCATTTTAAACTGTTTTTGTTGCATTTTTGTGGAGCTGCCCATTTTTTTCCATGGGGTTTTGCCAACAACCTCACACTGACCCTGAAAGTGGTCAGGAAGAAAACACGAGCATAAGGAAACCTTTACAAAATGTTTAGGCTTGGCAAGCATCTCAGCTGGTCCAGCCACCCACCTCCGAACATCTATGTGTTGGGGGGGACTTACCTAGCCCAAAGTAGATGCCAACGGTTTCCAGGGAGGCGAAGGTAAGCAGGCCAACCCCAAGTGACATGAACCAGTCTGCAGCAGGGGAGAGAATGGTTAGCCTGCAGGTCTGGTCTCCTGGCCCCCAACCTACCCCCCACCCCGTGCCCACGGCCCCCAGCTCACCTGTGCAGTAGTGGTAACACACCAGCAAGGCTCCAATGGCAAAGCAGAGGAGGATGAAATGGAAAAACTCATCTACAAAGGCAGATGCAAGGAATTATGATCGGCTTCTCTTACTCTTTTCGTAATTAAAGTTTTCCAGTCTCTGGTCAAATGTAGCTTTATTCAGAGACCTGCTCCTGACCAGCCCAACTAAAACAGCACCCACGCCCCACCCCTTTCCAGCCTTTATCTCACTTTATTTTTCTAACACTTACCTCCCCTCAACTCGTTATAGTTGCGTATCTGTGTTTGTTGTCTGACCCCCTCAGGCGGATGGAGGGTGGGGATTTTGCCCAGTGACTAGAGCAGAGCCAGGCATGCAGAGGTGCCCGATACTGCGCCGAATGAATGTTAACTACAATTGCAAAAAATGCAAATGTGTCCATTTTAAAAGTTTCCCATTCTCTCTCCCTAAAGCATGCAGTAATTATGTGCCATGCTGCTTGGGACGCACAGTATGAGACACAGTAAGGAGGTGAGACCAAGGTGTAGTCACAGGATAGTGAAGGGTCCGACCAGGGGAGTGGAGGCGGCTGCCGGTGAGAACTAGAAGTTTGGGAGGCTTAAGAGATCAGGCCAGAATAAGGACTGAGGTTCAGAGGGGACCCAGGGGATCCTTCTGGGTTTTCTCAGCTTCCACCCAGCCTCACAGCGTCTTTGCCTTTTCCATGTAGCACTGCTGACCACCTTCACGATTTCAGGCTAATCCAAGGACCATCTGTCCTAATATTTACTAAACATTTTTCTTTAAACAGATGCCTTCTGTCCTTCAATAGATTTACTTTCAAAGGAATCTTTATGTCACAATAGACAATGGAAAACTAGGATCCCATGTCTGAAAACTATACCCAAGGTGTGTATGAGGCAAGACGGTGACGTTCCAGCTGCTCTTGCTCCTGCCGGAAGCTCTGCACACAGGGACAGTCCTGGCTTCTGCGTTCTCAAGGGCAATGCGCAAGGGTCAGAGGAGCATTGAGGGCACGGGGGCTCCAGGCCGAGACAACTGAGCATCTTGGCCTGGCCTGCACTTTGAGAGTCTTGGTTTTATTCCAACGAGGCTCGTCTCATGGCCTGGGAAAGCCCAACAGCCCCCTGGTTCATCTAGCGGGACAGAGGCAGAGCCAGGGGCTGGGACCCAGGTCTCCCACTCCCTGAACGTGAGCTTTAGCAGCAACTGAAAATGTTTCTAGAACTGCCATCTGTTTAATCAAAAACTGTCTCCTTTCCCACCCTCACCCTCCTCCCTGAAGCCCCCATGGATTCTAGGCCTGGAGCAGAAAAGATCCATCTGGTTCTTCTCACCCCTTCTCAAGAGTCTAGTCTAGTCTAATCTCATGGCTTCCTCAGCCTGGCCCCTTCCCAGCTTCCCACTGTGGTCATAAGGCCTGGGGGGGATCTTGTCATCCTGGCAACTCTAAAGCAGAAAGAGCACAGGAACAAGTTTCAAGCCCAGGTGGCTCCACTCACTAGCTATAAACCCACTCCCCATCCTGGAGCCTCAGTTTCCATATCTGCAAAGTGGGAGTTATTGTACCACCTTCTCAAGGTGATTCTAGTTTTGCAAACTGTAGAGCACACAGCAGAGGTGGGCTATGATTACTGTTTTAGCCCACCAGATGACTTTCTACCCACCATAGAAATCTGGACCAGGTAGATGGAAGCACACCCATTTCCTTACCATCTTTCTTTATGTTCAGCCTTCTTAACTCAGAGGTTGCCACTTCTCCTTAGGAACAAGAGAGAAACGAGTGTTTAACTTTGATGCTGGATGGCAAGTGGGATTTTCTCTTCCCTGCCTCACTGAGAATGGCTTTTCCCAGGGTCAGAGGGCACTCACTGCAGCACCAGTGAGGACAAAGCCATAAAGGCAGGGGTGGCTGTCCTTGGGACCCCCGCAGACCTACCCCTCCCTCCGCAGGCCTGAGCCTGCATTCTGCTCCATTTCCCCTGAGCCCGGAGGTCCCCATCTGGAATCACAGTGACCCTCTGGCTGGCGGTGACATCAGTGCTGGGCCTGACCACCCTCTCCGGCTGTCTGTGGCCCCATCCCACCCCTGGGAATCCAGGCTCTCCTGCAGTCTTCTCGGAGCTTTTGCACATTTACCACTTGTGTCAGAGCCTCTCCTCCGGAGTTCTAGAAATTAGAAACTCAACATTAGTGCTCAAGCCAGCTGAGGTCCATAACAGATCTCTCTGCCCTGGTGGGGGCCACGGGTGACCTCTGGCAATGCGCCTTTCGAGTTCTGCCTGTTGATTCCTGGTTGTAATTCCTTTGCCTCTTGCCTGGACCCCTTTCTAATCTCCACTAGTCTCCTGCCTCCTGCCACAACCAGCCCCACCTGCCTGCTGAGTCCGAGTCAGAGCCCCTGGCCCCCATGGAGGTGGTGGGGACTAGGAGTCCTGTCTCTCACTCCCATGCGCCCTGGCTCTCACAGGGGAAAGACAATGCCAAGGCCTCGCTCAACACCTGAGCACTGACACCCCCCCTCCCCACACTGGACACTCACCTGATTCCTCAGAGGGCACCAGCTCTCCAGGGTCACCTGCACAGAAGGAGAATCAGTGACCACATATCCACTATCCTCTGGGAGTGGAGGATTCACCCTGTGGGGAGGTGGGTCCCACTCAGAGGCTTTCCACTTGATCTGAGCTGGCTGGGTGTGGACTGGAGCAAGTGGGTTCCTATCTGTCTAAAGGGGCAGTCAGCCTTCACCTGCTGTAGAAGCACCTCTCCAGTGTTACGGGTCTTCCAATTTTCCACAGGAGACTAGAAATCCAGGTGTTCACACAAACTTCTTGATTATATAAAAGAGTTGACAACTCTTACATTCCATTGCATCAAAGACATCATTGTTTGTGAGAGGTGACTTTATTTTATATATTACTATGTAAGGAAGCCACCCACAGACAATTTAATGGTAAGTTGCCAATGGTTTTAAGGTGCTTCCTGATTTCAGAGATGCCCAAATGTGAAAAAGTGTGAATTGCAGAATTGATGAAATATGTTTATAATAAAAATACTCTGTGAGCCAGATAAAACACATCTGCACACAGATGGGCCACTAGTTTGAACCTGTATCTGTTCATGCCTATCCGGATGCATGAGGACACCTTGCTGTGTGACCCAAGCCCACCAGGCTGTGAGCTTGTGGGAGACAAGCTGGGTGGTCCACTGGGCCACCTGAGTGTTGTCACGTCCCTCATCTGGGCTGCTCAGGGTGCCTTGAGTTCTACATATCTGCCTTGAGCTGCCGCCTCCTCATTATTGTGGTCTGGGTGGCCCTCCAACCCTACTCATCCTCTGGTCCTGGTGGCTATTCTAGTTCCTGGTGATCTCTCCTCTAGCCTGCCACCTCCTTCCCCTCAGGGGCAGGCAGGACCCCTGTGATTCCACCACCACCACCAGGAGTCCCCACTCCCTTACACTTCCCATCCTTCAAGTCAACCCCAGGATGGAGACACTGGGAGGGGGTCCCTGGCACATGGCAATAAACGCTCAATACACTGAACTGTCCTTCCAGCTAATGTGCAAACAGGAAACACCTTCTGCAAGTGGCCAGAGTGCCTAGTACCGAGAGCACAGAGAACATACCACCAATGGCATGAAATGGGAATCCCACTGTGTAATTTATTACATGCCTCCAATGCCTTATCTGGGGGGGAGAGAGATTCACAAATATGTGATGATCTCTACATTGTCTACAGTGAATATGAATTACTTTGATGAGGAGGAAGAAACATTAAAAAATACATGTAAATATAACAGTTTCTCTTATTTTACACCCAGTGAAAAATTTTTTACACTGCTTAAGTAATTAAGTAATTAAGTAATTTTTTACACTGCTTGTTTTTGTAAAAAAGTAATACTTGTTTTTGTAAAAAAGAAAAGAAAATCAGAAAAATCAGATAAGAAAATAAAACAGTAGAAAGATTACCCACAATGCTACTTGAGGCAGAACATCAAAATCTTTCATTTATATTTCTTTGAATGTATACTTGTTTCTCATTGTTTTTCTTGGGCATTAGGAGACTAAGTAGATTTTTTATTGGTCATTAGGAGACTATGTAGATTATGGAAATGTTGGATTAAATAAAGTTAAACAAGTTTTATCTGGCAGTGTACATTTGTCAGGCTTTTTTGATAAACTGGTTCATTCCTACAAATTCACCCAATTCATCAAAGTGCTACCAAGTCATAATATTCATATCTCCTTGCTGTGATAATCATGATGCTTAGAGACAATTATTCCATAATATGAGTTTTGTAGAGATCAGATTCTTAATTTTTCCCTTGCATGCTTAAACAGCTCAGTAGTTCAAGAGAGCAGGTACTAATCATGTCTCATTTTGTTGGTTGGGAAGCTGAGGGCCAGAAAGTTTAGGTGGCTGGTCAAGGTCACCCTGCAAGTCTAGGTTATAGCTGAGAAGAGAATCCAGGACAGTCTCACCTTTGTAGAAAATGCATGCCCCGATCCCCATCTGCCAATGTTAGAACCACTCACCTTGCCACATCTCCTATATTTGCCCCAGGGCTTTTCAGCTAATGAAACACCCTCATCACCTCTTTTCTGCCCAACAAAGTCCTAAGCTTCATGTCCTTTGCTTAATTCTATTTTTCCAAAGCCACTGGACAACCAATTACCTCCATAGAGTTGAAGCTCATCCTTCAAAACATCAGGTTCCCCATGCTCAGCACCTGGGTGGAGACAAGCCCCTTTAGTCAGCAATCCCCAGTCACAGCACCTCAGAGCAGCTGCCATCTCCCACATGCTTAAAGACTTAAAAGGTAACACAGTTTTTGCATTGGGGATACGATGAGCAGTCTTCAAGAGGCAAGACAGCCTTCCAAACTTTCTCCCTTTACTGTGTCTGACTCTCCTCAGCACACCTAGAGGTGACCACATTCAGTTTACTAAGAAGGAACTGGGGGCCTAAGAGGATCTGAGCCTCTTTCAAAGTCAGTAATTATAGTTGCCATTTATTGAGCACAGTAATTACTATGTACCAGCACTGAACTAAGTAATTTACCTCTGGTATTCCATTTGATTCTCATCCTATGAAGAAGGTATTATTACCTCTCCCTTCCCCATTTTACAGATAAGGAAACTGAGGCTCACAAAGTTAAATTATCCCCTGAAGGTCACACAACCAGTAACTGGCAATTCCAGAATTCAAACCCAGGTCTATCACCAAAGCCTGCAATCCTAATCACTTTTATCTTCAGAAATATAACCCAGAGCTCAACTCAAGCTTCATAGGCAGCATTTATTAAACACCTCGTGTTCCAGGTTTGGCACTAAGCATTAATCCAGGTTCTTTCCTCCACATTCTTTTTTTTATTCTGGATGTAGAAACAAAACACGCTTATTGTAAGATACTTACAGTAGAGGACAGTTCAAAAAAGCGAAAATAAAAATCACCGGTAATTTAACCAGCCAGAGGTAACCACTATTAACATTTTGAAATTTTTACATCCAGTCTTGTTTATCACCACGGATGTGGGAATTTTGCAAAGTATATAGGAGATCAAGCTAATTATATGATTTGACATTTTTCTTTTTCACTTCAGAGATATGTGAAGAACGGAACTCAGACCTGGACAGGGTGTATTTCGCCGCTGTTGGACATTAGGTTGTTACATATTGCAGCCCTACTATAAACAGTGTTCAGTCCCATTAAGAAACTCAGTACTGAGCTGAGTGTGCAAAGGAGAAATAGTAGAGCCCGTGGCCTACCGGGTGAGCTGTCCCTGGTGGGATGTCCAGCCCCCCGGCGCTGGCGTCGTCTTCTGGTTGCTCTGGGGTGCTGGTCCTCATCACTGCTCCCTGCAGGAGACAAGCACAAGCGGTAGGGTAACCTGAGCCTGGAACGGACCTGCGATATGTTCATGCTGGTGTCCAGACTCAGAATTCAGTTTATATGAGGACTGTGATCTGGGGGAAAGCTCTCTGTTTGGGGTGTTGGGGGTTCTGAGATCTGCCACAAACTTTCTGTGTGACCTTGGACAGATCACTTAATTATTTCTGTTGCTGCTTTCATGAAGATATGACAAGGTACTGAGGAGCTTTCCCTCCCAGCAAGCATGGGGGCTGTGTCACCTCTGTATCCCCACAAGGCTACGCTGACTCTGTTTGCTGTGGCTGCTTCTCCCACCTGAAAGACCCTGCCCGTTTGTCTTCCTTATCCTAAAGGTTAAGCTGATGTCACACGTCTTGAAGAGAGGCTTGTGCAACAGTCCCAGTTCACCCTCATGTGGGCCTCCCTCCTCTGCGGTTTCTGTAACATCAACTGTCTGGGGTTGACACAGTGGGCATGAGGGTCAGTGGGGGCAGTGCTCATCTCTCCAGCCACCTGGCTCTGAAGGACAAGGCCCGGGTCGTCACTGTCCTAAGGGTGCCCAGCCTGGAGCAGGCGACCAATCAAGACTTGAAGAGTGAATGAGTCTTTTGCCCTCTTGGACAGTCAGCCTTCCAGGGATTCGGGCCTAGGCATTTCCAGCTTCAGGATGCCCGAGATGGCCCCAGTGATGCTAATGCCCCTCAGTATGCTTGGGGCCCTCCTGGTCTATCACGCATAAAATTTTGAATTCCAGGAAACCAAGTTAACTGTGCTTAAAAACCAGTGTGTATGTGACCCCAACTAGATATGGAGGAAGATGTATCAGGAAGTCCATCAAGATAACAACATCGGTATTTATCTCAGGAGGTAGGATTTTGAGTGGCTTCTATGTTCTTCCTTTCTGTATTTTACAAATATTAATCAGTGCCACAAACAGGCTTTTTCATTGCATTTTGCAAAATACCAAACAATACAGAAACTAAGGAAAGCAAAAGTTATCCCAAATTCTATCAGCCAGGGACAACCTCCATCAACATGCAAATGAACTTTCTCTCTATATATGCATACATTTTTTTATACAAGGTATTAAAGAATTATAGGCTGTCTAAAATGAGGACAATTTTTGTATGTGTTCTCTAGTTCAATTATTTAAAAGAATTAACCCTGGCAGAGTAAATTTGCTGCTGGTGTCCCCAGTGACCATCACAGAACCTGCCATATAGTTGCGGCTCATAAGTATTTATTGAATAATTGTAAGGAAATACACTGATGTGTGTTGGTGGTTATCTCTAGGTGGCACAGCAAAGGATGATTTTTTTTCCTTCTATTTCTTTACATGCTCCACATTTTCTACACTGTGCCTACGTGTGATCTTTCACAATGAAAAGTTGTAATTAAATAACAGAATACATTAAAAACAAAAAGGGAAGGAGTGAGGGAGGGCAATGTTGGAGCCAGACTATGGGGTTAGGGTCCTGCATGTGGAGGAGGCTGCAGCGAGGTACCCAGCCAGGCTTGGGGTCTTGATGGCTAATGGTCACCACCTGAGCCTGCAGAATGGGCAGTGTCTGAGTTCCAGCGGGCAGGTCAGCCATTGTGGATCAGAGATCAGAGCCTGAATGTATGTCTGTTTCTACTTGTCTGCTTGTTTTCCTGTTGCTTTCTCAGTGCTCTTTTGGGCTAATTACAGCAATAACATGGCAACATGCTTAGGAAACATAGCAAAAAATTCAAACAGAAGACAAGTCCCATGTGTGCTGTGGAACCTGAGGGAAGGAAGGGGCTTATGGCCACACTTGGGGGAGAACATTTGTGGGGGAACAGCACCCCCTAAGGATCAACCATCAGAAGACAGAATGTCCCCTTCCCGTTCAGAGGACAAAGGGACAGGTAATGGCTCCACAGTGCCTGGAAGCTCTTCTTCCAGAGCTTTACCTCGTCTGGGGTAGGTTTGCATATTTTTTAATAAGGGAGGTGGCTCCTTTCCCGTCTCATGAGGAGGCTGGTACAAACGACCCACTGGACCCACCCATCCCTCTCCCTCCTGTCTGCTGAAATAATAAGCATGGATGTTTTGGCTTTGAGTCTCAGTCTCATCATTTACCACAAGAGAACAGGAGGCCAGGGCTTTGCAAGCATTTTTAAAAATTTAGAGAACTCTTTGATTCAAATAGAATATCAGGCCAAGCCCACTATGTAAAATGTGACAGAGCAGGAGCTCTGGGGGAGGAGACAGACCAGCACCAACCCCTTTCAGTCTCAGAAAGACCTCCTGGGACCCCCCAGTTGGTTATTGAGCCCTCTAACAGGGCGTCACTTGGCCTCTCTGCCTCAGCTTCCTCACCTGTAAAATGGGAATATTACAGTACTTTCCTCAGTGGGTCGCTGTAAGAATTAACTGAGTGGTCACACTTAAAATAGTCGAACAGTACCCAGCACATAGTAAGTGGTGAGCAAATGTCAGCTATGATGTTCCTGCTGCTGCTATGAATCAGCTTTACGTTTTGAATTACAAGAATAAAAATGAAAGAACATTCTGCCTTTCATCAGAGGATAATGCGGCAATTTATAATCATGACCCATTGAGAAATGTCTATTCACTTAAATCTACTGAAGCCCCTGTGGGGAATCAATCCTGGGGTGTGATTTGTGCAAACAACTCAAAAAATAAAAGCTTTTGAGCAAAGACGCTAATGAGTAAGATAAACTGGCCCAAAGGTGGAGGTGGATCTTAACAATGACAGCTACTTTTAGTTTTCACTCTGTGCTAGGTGCTAAGACTTCACATGTGTGAGAACGTAATCCTCACAATAATTCTGTGAGTTAATAACTTCTGTTATCATTCCCATCTTGCAGGCGAGGACCCCGAGGCATGCAGGGGTTAGCAGTTTGCCCAAGGACACACGGCTAGTTGGTGGCAAAGAAAGGTTGGGATCTAGGCAGGCTGCATGTTCCTCTTTAACTGAAATGTCGCTTCACACGAGAGGTGGCCACTTGAGAGTCTATTCAGTGAGCATGAAAAATATCTGCAAAGATATTACAGAATAGCATGGCAATAGGTTTAGGAGAAGATAGCAAAAATTTTCAAATGGAAAAAATTGTCCATGTGGCCGGTTATAACTGTGTACAAGTTACGTGAATGGATAGGTGGGCTCTGGAAGGGAATATGGAAAAATAGAATTGAAGTGTCAAGGTGGGAGATTATGGGGGATTGTTTTTCCATGCAAATGCTGTTCTTGAATAATACTGTGAATACAGATGTATCTTTGCCATACCGGACACAGAGGTGGATGGCGAGGAGGAGGAGGAGGAGGAAGAGTTGTTTCTCTCATGTTGTTCTTGAGAAAAGAGTCCGGTCTCCCCATCTTGCTTGTGGAGATCTGTCTCTCTGTCTGGGAGGCACACATAGGCAACGATGAGTGTTTTCTGCCCTTCCTACCCCAGGGGTCTATTTGGACTTGGGGTCCAGGAGCTGCCGAATTCTCCGGGATGCTCTTTCCAAACACCCAGAGCCAGTGGATGGTGCAGGGGACTGGAATTCTCAGAGGCCCAAGGACTCTAGGAAGGCCCAAGGCAGAAATTTCTCTGAATATGGAACCCTCAGAGGGGCTTCTTAGCCCCTCATTCTGCCCAGAGACCAACAGACTGTGTACACAGTTGCCAGTTTAGAATTTTCTATAAATTACAGGGCAGGTGGGATCTGATCAAGTCCTAAACCTTCCCATCCCCCATGCTGGGGCTATGCAGGACCCATCCCACCTTTTGGGAACTCTCCCTAGTGCCAGCCCAAGCTCCCAAAGCCTCCTTAAGGTTTGGGGAGCAACTAAAGGTCCCCACAACCAGAAAGTGCTGGGGGATTGGCTGGACCAAGCATGTGTATGTGCACATGTGTGTGTGTAAAATCGCTACTTCTCTAGAGGTTTCAATTGTGACTTGAGCCATTGTGCCACATGAGCTGAGCAGAGTCTTCTTCTGTTCCATACACTGCTGAACTCCACCTTCCATGTGGCTTTGCCCAGAGGGTCAGAAAAAGCAAACATACAGTCTAGGTCTTCTGTTTCTCTGGGGAGTTGGCTGTGGTCTTGAGTCTGGGAGGAAGGTCCTGAAGTCTCCATGGCCTTCCCTGGAGGAATAACAATAAGTAATTAATAGCTCCTTAGTTGATACCCTTAATATACAAAGAGCTTTGGCAAATAAATAAGAAAAAGACACTGAATATTCAAAGGTATAAGAACAGTTTACAAAAAAATAAATATTAGGGAAATTTGAATAATAGCCTCCCCCATTATCAACATCTTTCAGAGTATTAATAAATTAATAATAAATTATTTTTTTAGGTGTGTTATTTATATTAAGGTTATATTTCTTTTAAATATCCTTAAATTTGGAGATAAATATTAAAATTTTTATGATAAAATAATATGATGTTTGGGACTTGCTTCAAAATAATTTTGTGGGGGAGCTGAAGGGCATACTTGGGGGTTCAAATAAACATAATCAGTTAATAGCTGTTGAAATTACATCAAAACATGGTTCTTCCTGGGTGATGGCATCATGGGTATCTTGAGCTTATTTTTACTTGGCATTTTCTAAATTTTTAAGGGCAATGCTTTTGTTATAACAAAATAGACAATAATTTTTCCTTGCATAAAAAGTAATATGCCACCTTATATCCATAACAGCTTTACAAAGGGCGTATGTGTCCGTAATTCCATGTGAGGCTGATTACAAACCAGTCAGGTAGGAATTGGGATTAATCACTCCTCACATTTGAACTGGAGTTTCTATACAACAAAACTTCCTAAGAGATCATCTCACTGGACCCTTACAATAATCCTGCAAGGTAGGTTTTATTATCCCCATTTACAGAGGAGGAACCTGAATCTCAAGGAAATGAAGTGATTTGTGTAAGTCAAGACTCCAGAACCCACATATTCTGTTCAGTGCACCCCAAAATGTTGATTTGGGGTCCAAAACTGCTCAAAGGCCACCATGGAGTCAGGATGCAAGTGGTGAAGGAGAAGGCAGGAAGCAGGCCCTGGAAGGTGGAGAGTGAGGGTTGGGAATCTGTCCCTTTGGGACACCATACCCTCTCCTTTCCTGAAATTCTGAGAGGGAGCTAGAGGTAAATCTGGAGGCAGGCCTTCAGGTGACGCTACACGAAGGCCATAACTGCGGCCTTGGAAAAATCAAAATGGCTAACCTCAATGAGCTAGTCCTCTCCCTGGGGAAAAGACATGGAATTGCCATAGTAGAGCTATCCCTCCAAGCCCTTATTTTAGCTGGGCATGTGGCCACCCAGCTAGAAACTTTATTTCCTAGCATCCCTTGAGTTCGGTGTGGCCATGTGACTACATTCCTGCCAGTGGAGTGTAACTGGTTGGGATATGGGCTGTGGTGTGCTGATAAATGTTTAATGGTCCTTCAGGAAAAGTATCCACACATATACACATATATTACACACACATATGTTTGTTATACATTTTACTGATATAAAGAATATCCAGCACATAGTTTACAAATAATAAAGCATCATATACAGTACTCTTTATTGTGAATTCCATATGCCTATAACTTCTCAAGCCTAATTCTCATCAGTCTCCAATCTTCTGAAGCATAACGAACAAGTTCTTACATGGTGAACGAATTCTTACATAGTGAATAAGTTCTTACATGGTGAACAGTACAAGGGCATTCATCACAGAAACTTTCGGTTTTGATCACGCAAGCACCATTAGTTTTTATAAATCTATTGCCAACAAGAGTGTCACAGAATCAGATTTCAAATAAACTCTTTTTTAGTACCAGATTCAGCAAAGAAGTTGCTCCTATTGTCAATGTATGAGTACTTCCAATGTGAATGCTGGCCGATATTCTCTTCCATGTTAAGGAGCAAGACAAAAGTGACACAACAAAGGCATTTGTTGTTATAGTCTGTCAGGGATATAAGCAAACTTCTTTGCTGAATTGAACCATAGTTTTAAAATTCTGGTAAAGTATTTTCTCAAACTTTTTGTGCTACTCACAGTGCAATGGCTACAGGTGCAGTGCAGTTTTAGGTTTAATCTGTATTATTGACATTTTCTTGATCACAGTCTTAAATTCAAACAATCAACAATCATTTAATTGCACATTTGTGTCATGCAATTATTTAATGTAATAAGGGCTGTGTTTAACAACCAGCTCCCTAATTTCCTAAAGATGTAACAATGGGCTCTCATAAAGTGATACGACCCAGTCCTGGCTCTGGGCATATGAACTTCTGTTTGCCTTCTATTTCCTCTTTCTTGCTTTGTGTACTCTAAATGCAGACATGGGGTGGTGAACCCACCTCATTCACGGTTCCAAACCAACATCCCAGAGAATCTATGAGAAGCAAGCAAAAGGACCCTCGACCTGGCAGGGCTGCATGCACAGAGCCACTGCCTGCCTGGACCTGCCGCTGGTAAGCTACAAGCTCAGCGAATCAGCTGCTTTCTTATTTGAGCCTCATGATTTGGCCTCTGTTCCCTCAGCTTAGCCAAGTTGTGCAGGCTTCATTCTGAAGCCTCCCCTATTTCTTCTCCTTCCAGCTCTGAGAGTGGGCAGATTCCCTACTCTCTGACTAGTTAGGACCTGCATTCTCAATTGCAAAACTCTGGACATTTGGGACCCAGGACTCTTTGCTGTCGTACGCATTATGTAAGGCAGTGAGCAGTCTGCGCACTAGATGCCGGGAGCACCCCCACCCCCAGTTGTTGTGACAATCAAAAATGCTTCCAAACATTGCCAAATGTCCCCTGGGGGCAAAAATCACTGCCAATTGAGAACCACTGGTCTACAGGATCTATTCTTTAAAGTTTTTTTTTTTTTTACTGAGAGATAATCAGCATATAATATTATATTAGTTTCAGGTACACAACATAATGATTCAGTATTTGTATACATCGCAAAATGATCATCATGGTAAGTCTAGTCAACATTCATCACCACACAGTTACAATTTATTTTTCCTGTGATGAGAACTGTTAAGATCTATTCTCTTAGCAACTTTCAAATATGCCATACAGTATTATTAATTATAGTCACCGTGTTATACATGACATGCCCAGGACTTAGTTACCTTATAACTGGAAGTTTGTACTTCTGACCTCCTGAGCCCATTTTGTCCACCCCCGGCCCCCACCTCTGGCAACCACCAATCTGTACTCTGTATCTATGAGTTTGTTTATTTTTGTTTTGTTTTGTTCTTAGCAAAGAATCTATGCTTAATCCACTATAAGACATTGGGGTCAGGCAACATCCTCTCCTGTACCTCAGAGTCACACTTTCTGGGTGTGATTTCTCACTGACGCTTCTAGCTGTGGGAGTTTGGACAAGTTATTTAACCTCTTGCTGTGCCTCAGTTTCCTTGTCTGTAAAATGGGGACAATAAAAGTGCTTGCCTCCCAGGACTGTGAAAATGACATGAGTTAAAACATGGAAAGCGCTTAGATGAATGCTTGGAATAGAGCAAGTGTTGAAGAAAACGGCAGCTGAGATGATCATTATCAGGCCAGGAATGGCATCAAGACAGCATTTGTATAATGGCAAGAGCATGTGCCCCAGGCTCTAGCACTGCTTTCTAGAATAAAAATTCCCATTTCTCAGGGCAGAATTCAGCTAAGCTTTAGGAAGACATCAGTCAATAAAACTACTTGATATTCGGGTATGAATGACTGATAACCATAAGCCTCCAGGGCACAGCTGTATATTGAAAAGGACACTTTGTACACAGCAAGTGTGCAGTACAAGTTCATTGGCTGAAATCATCTCTAATGGTGGGATTTCAGGCAGTGGAGGAAGAGAATTAGAGCCATAAGGGGTAAACAGAGCTGTGGGCAATGCCAAATACACCAAAAGTTGGCCAAGCTGGATGTGTCTCTTTCTTGCTCTAGCTGTCTTGGTCACTTGGCGGTCCCTGGTCACACACAGCATTTCCAGGCCTTCAGATTTCCACCCAGACCACTCTTTCCTATTGTCCAAATTGTATCTGACCTTCCAGGCACAGCTCAATACCACCTCCTTCATGAAACCCTCTGCTGGTTGCCTACCCAGTGCCCAACCCTCCTCCTTACCCCCACACCCTTAATCCTCCTCCCTGCCTCATCACAGCTGGCTTGCTTTCTTGCTAATAAAACTGCAATTTTGTTCTTCCAGCTCCAGTAAGATACTTTTTTCCCAGCCTCCCTTGAAGCAGGGGGTTGCCATGTGACCCCGTTTTGGCCAATGAGAAGTGAGTGGAAGTCGGCTGGGGTTCTGGGAATTCTCCTGACAAAAGAGACCGATAGTGCTGGTGCCGTCTTCACTCTCTTGTCCTGCCTTGAACATGAATGTGATGGCAGGACCTACAGTGGCCATCTTATGAGCATGAGGAAGAGCCATAGCAAATGCAGAGACGTTGAGCTGCTGAGCCCTTGCCAGCAGCTGCCTGCTTTCCTGCCATTTGAGAAAATATGCCTCATTTTGTGTAAGCCTCAGTAGTCAGGAATTTTGGCATTTGTAGCAGAACATGATTCTGACTGACACACCTTCCCTCTCCTACATTCATCCATTAATTGAGCACCTACTGTGTGATGGCACTGAATACCACAGTGAACAAGCTGCTGCCCTGTTCTTAAGGGATTTCATGGTAGATCAGGGGGCAGTGGAGCCCAGGGAACAAATCAGACCAGGATCAGTCAGGAAAAGTTCCTGAGGAAGGAACACTGGGGGTGAGTTTGGAAGGGCCGTGGAAACAAGGTGCAAAGGCAGAAAGGAAGGGGGCTTGGCCTACATGGGAAAGAGTTGGCAGGAAGCAGCTCTGAAGAATGGGACTCTGGGAAGGCCCAAGGGCACCCCTGCCTTGTTCCCTCGCACATTTCTCTCCTGAGCCTTGTCAACTCTGCCTTGTTCTTCAAGGCAGGACACCTTGTTGTACAACTTCAGATCTCTGCTTAGGGTTCCAAGGGTCTGACACACCCAGGGTGTGTCTCCTCCACCAGATCATGAACCGGGTCAGCGTAGGGAATAGGACTGATTCACCTCTGTGTCACCGAGGCCCTGCACAAAAAGGCCTGGGAAAAAGCAAAAATGATGACAGTGATCACCATGATCATGACCATG